CACCTGCCGAAATCAGATGTTTTTAAATCATATTACAGTTGCTGTGGACACCCTGAAGTACTGTTTATGTTCATCACTACTCTGAAAGTATATGCTAGTTATTTGGATCACAGATCTTTTATTTAATACATTAATAAAGAAGCATGTATACTGCTATATAACAACTCTTTTAAATATCTCAGTTTTAATTTCAAAATACAGTTGACCCTTGAACAACACAGGTTTGAACGCTGTGAGTCCACTTATACGCGGATATTTTTCAAGAGTAAATACTACAGAACTACACGGTCTGCGGTTGGCTGGGTCCATGCATGTGGAGGAACCGCGGATATGGAGGGCCGACTATAAATTATACATGGATTAACCCTCCAGTTGTTCAAGGGTCAGTTTTAATTGGTTTCCTTTATAATCCCACATCACTGTACGCATTTAAAATATTACTCCAAAACGTTTGAGACACAGATGTAGAGAAAAAACGTACGGCTACCAAGGTGGGAAGTTGGGGGGGTACAAATTGGTGGATTGGGATTGACACAGATACAGTACCATGTATAAAATAGAGAACTAATGAGAACCTGCTGTATAGCACAGGGAACTCTACTCACTGCTCTGTGGTGACCTAAATGGGAAGGAAATCCAAAAATGAGGGGATATATGTATACATATAGGTGGTTCACTTTGCTGTACAGCAGAACACAACATTGTAAAGCAACTATACTCCAATAAAATTTTTTTTAAAACAACAAAAACATTAGCCCAAGAAGGGGTCCAGAAGCTTCACAATGCCAAAGGGGCCCGTGGCACCAAAAAGCTTCAAAACCCTACTCTTGACCCCACTACACCTTCCCTCGGTCCTCACACCCACTCTTGGCCTGTCTTCGGAAAGGAGGAAGGTACAGGAGCTCCCAGGGCAAATGTTTGCACGTGGTTTCCTCGGCAGGAATTCTCTGCTGACCCAGAACTTCACACCCGCCATCCGCCCTTCTAAGCTTTCACCAAACGTGTCGCCACAGCTCCCACTAGGGTGAGGCCAGAGAGAAGCCTGGGGCCAGCCCTCTCAGGGCCGTGGAAAGGCAGCGTCAGCACTTGCAGGGCCCAGGGAGCAAGCGCAGGGAGTTATACGCCCTGGGCGCCTCTTGTCTACCCCCAGTTCAGGCCCTGATGTGACCAAATCTATACTCAGAGCTTAAGCAAAGCTCCTGAAAATACTCCACCCAGCTGTCTTTAGAAGTCACTCTGAACCCTGGCTCCACAGAAGAATCACCTGGGGAGCTCTGAAAACCCCCTCGCTCAGGCCACACCCCAGGCTAATTTAATGATAATTTCTGCAGGTGGCCCCAGGTACTTGTATTTTTTATTTTGCATTTAAAGTTACCCAGATGATTCTCAAGGGCAGACGAGGGTGGGAACCAAAGCCTGAGAAAGATGACTTCTGTAGGCATCCCTCAGGAGTTCCAGGTGAACCTGAATTCCAAATGTTTGAGTTTAAAGAGTGGCAGCTGATTAAGACTCGCTCCCAATGCACAGGCATTTATGTCCTCATTCATTCAGTCATTCATTCATTCATTCAACAAACATGCTCTGAGTACCCACAAGGCCCCTCAGTGCAGGGATTACCAGAAGCTCCTCCCTTCCCCTTGGACTTGCAGACTGCTGAGGAAGACAGACAAAAAACTTATCAAACCTGTAAGGAGTATTTACAAACTCTGATAAAAGTGCTATGAAGGAGCAGGCAGTGAGAGAGAATAAAGTAGGGAGGGGCCTGCCACGTTATCTAGCATTATCTAATGGACCCATCCAAGGAGTGCCGCATTCCCTAGGCATGTGTGCTTTTTAAGTTACTATTTACTCTTGATTAGGCATTTTACAATTCTGAAAGGGTAGATATTAACTTGTAGAAAACTGTTAGCTAACAAATACTTCTTGTCTGACAGCAATGCAAATGAATTTTATCTTAGAAAAGAGTATAATAACCCAGTTACAGTTTTATTGTGCTGTAGGGCATTAATCAATTTTATATGTAATTTAGCAATCTTATTCCAGCATCCTTTCTTTCCATGACTATAAATACTTCTGACTTTCTTGAACCAGCTTTACTACATGCTGGTTCCTTTGATGATGAATTAATTTGACAGGACATACTTTAGAAAGGATGGTGGGGGCAGCCTGGGAATCCTGAAGAAAAAGGAGGAGGAGCCAGCATGGGAAGGAGAAGGGGAAGAACAGACCGCTAGCAACCCAACACCTCGACATAACATATGATCTTTCCTACAACAGGAAAAGAGGTGGCCCAGAAATGGCTAGAAGGCCAGTGAGGCTGGGGGACAGACTGCAAGCAAGAAGAGGTTTGAGATGAGGACGGAGAAGTAGGCAAAGACTAGGTTATGCAGGGCCTTACAGATCAGTGTAGGGACTCCGAACTTAGCACTATGTACAACAAGTAACCACTGGGAGGGTTTCAAGAAGCTGGATAAAATGATCTGGTGGCTATTTTGAAAAGACCACTCTTCCCGCTGTGTGGGAAAAGAGACTGGAGTAGAGAATAGAGAAGGCCAAGAAGCCAATGACAAAATCGTGGTGCTCAGGTGTGGCTGCAGGTGGCCTGGTCTAGCAGAGGCAGAGAGATGGAGGGAATGGGCAGTGGATTTTGAAGGATTATATTGTGAATGAGGGAAAGGGGGGAATCAAGAAGGGCTTCTACCCACATGCTGTGCAGTGCAGCCAAAAAATAAGAAAAAATAAATATCAAAAAAAAAAAAAAAGAATGGCTTCTAAGTTCCTGGCTTAAGCAACTGCATATGGTAGGGGTATTCAGCAAAATGGGAATGGCTAGGGGTTAGAGGTTAACATACACAGAGGCATGTCATTCATGAAATACGGGTATGACTCTTACAGAAGGAAGGGTAGACTCACAACTCTTTGGGTGTGATAGGGCCTTTTAAAGGTAGTAGCCTTTCAGATTAGGTTCTCAGAGAGCATTCTCTTTGGCCTTCAAGGTTTGTGTCATCAAACATTAAGCTAATGGATCTCAAGCAACAAATCAGAAAATGCTAAGTAGCAGCTCAAAGTTTGGCCCTGTCTTGCCCTCATCCTTACTCAACATATGCTGACTGCAAATAACTATCATTTAATAAATCTTTAAATGAAGGAAGGAAATTCAGAATTAACTCTGAGTATACTTAAACCCTCAGAGGTAAAAGGCAGCATCAGGATTTATAAAATACAATGGAGAAAGCCTTGTATTTGGGAAAAGGGTTAATCCTTTACACAAGTGAACTTAGTCCATCCCTTCCACCCCCTTCCCCCAGGAAATTAAGCTGTAGATCTGAGCACAAATCAGGTAAAAGACTTCAGTCTAACCAAATATAAGCAACAAAGGTGTCAGAAGTTTATTCTTTTATACAATAAAGCAGCTCTTAACTCTTCCAGAAGATGAAGTTGGGGGATACTACAATAAAGCTTAATGACCATTTACAATGGAATGGAAACTATCACTGCCTACCACAAATCGAAATTCAGTGAGCTGTAACTTTGAACTAATCACAGCAAGTGAATGATAGCAGTGACCGTTAGACACCAAACCGGCCACTGAAATAATACTTCATCATGAAACCTACTTTGGAACCAAATTTTCTAATACTGAGGGATGCTTTGGGGGTCAGATTCTTTTTCCCATTCGGAAAACATCCAGGATTACAGATTAGAGTCAGCACCTTACTAAACAGAAAGAATTATCAAGAAGAGGCTACTCTGCATAGCAATGAAGAGCACGGGAACTGGAGGCTGAGCTCCTGGCTAGAGCTGGTTAGAACCTTACAATCCTTAGGCAAGTTACTCAACCTGACCCACAGCAAAGCAGGAAGCGAGACTTTATTCCATTAGGCACTGAGATTTCAATGGTACTTGTTATCACAGCTTATCGAAGGCAATGGAAACTGACACAATTATCTAATTTAGGTAGATGTCATGAGGACTAAATGAGACAGTGTCTGACACCCACTAAGCCTTTAATAAAGGTTAGCAGGATGATTGTGGCCTCCTGATGGTTAGTGTAAAAAGGTTTCATTTCCCATAGTCAAGCTATCAGAATCTTCTCTGCTATTTGCAGCTGTCCTACAAGGTTGTCATGGACTAACCATAAATCCTCAACCCACGTTGAGGTCCATCAGGGACTTCACAGAACAGGCAGGAACAGCGGAGTCATTTTTATCTCAAAATGAGGAAAAGGACAAAGTTCCTGCATAGCTGTGTGGCCATAGGAAAGTAATTCATATCAGAGTGAACTAAAAAAGGACCTCAGCACATCCACTGAATAATCACCTTCTTTAAACAGCCTGGTAAAACCAGTACTGAAGCAGTGCAAATGATGCTAAGAGTTTGGGGCTTTACTTTTGGTTTAAGTGTTCAAGTATGTCGTGGGCTGGGGGCAGGGATGGCAAGGTAAGAAAATGGTAAATCAAAACTTTGAGAACATAATCATAAATTCATTCTGCAAAAATCTTGGTAGCCCCTGAGTACTTAACAATCATGAAAACAGTGCTTTGGCAATTGGGAGATTAAAAGATGATCATACCTGACATGCCTGGCAGGGAAAGAAGACAGAAGGGGCAGTTACACTCAAATTCTCCCAGTTACTCAGCCCTAATAGAGCCTTAAACGACATTATAGATTCCTCGAGTGGAAAATTAAACGGTCTTATTATTTTGCCACAGGCTGTAGAATCCCCGTCCCAATCTTTGCCGGCTAAAGAACGAAATCTATTTTTAACTGCAAGTGAGTTAAAAGGAACTAATCTCAGGTAACTCTCTGAATTTTTTTCTCATTAAAAAAAAAAACACTAAGATACCTGGTAAGTTTTATTTTACTTTAAAGAAGAGTTGGAAGAAGAAAGGAAAAATCCCACAAATACTTATAGAACAGGCCTTAAACCCACTAAAAATGGTTCTCATAAACAGGAAACCTGTCATGGATAATAAAATGTATCAACGGGAGATACTTACCGCATTTAATACTCTCTATCCCCACGGGGAGGCCAGACTGTGCTGCAGCAATTAATTTCAGGGCAACGTAAAACTGTGTTGGACCAAAATAACCAACCCGCTTGGCACCACAGAGTTCTGTGATCTGAAAACAGACAAGAGAAGGGATGCTGAAAACTCCATTCCATAACAGCAAAATGAGACAAAATAGATTATGAAATCTCAAGGATTTCATGGGGTAACTAACCAAAAAGTCCCTGGAGAATCTATGGGTACACGCTGGTTGGATTCTTTTTCCTCCAGTTTGCAGGGAGGTTTTCAATTTGGATAATGCAATTCTACCTACGCGTGATGTTTCAGGACTGGGTGATTATTCCTCCTCTTTCAAAGATAAAAATAAAGGTGACAAAGAATGGCTGTTAAGCTTCTTACAAAAGAGTGACTTTTTCAGGGGGTGGATTGTAACATACAAAGTCTAAAGTCTAGAAAGTCACCAGGGTGAAGAGAGAACAGATTAGTCATAATCACTACTTGTGGATTATCCTAGTTGATCGAAATTAAAAATGAGTTATTTTTTTAATGATTTTTTTAAATTTATTTATTTATTTATTTTTGGCTGCGTTGGGTCTTCATTGCTACGCGTGGGCTTTCTCTAGTTGCAGTGAGTGGGGGCTACTCTTCGTTGCGGTGCGCGGTCTTCTCCTGGCGGTGGCTTCTCGTTGCAGAGCACGGGCTCTAGGCCCATGGGCTTCAGTAGTTGTGGCTCACAGGCTCTAGAACGCAGGCTCAGTAGTTGTGGTGCATGGGCTTAGTTGCTCCACGGCATGTGGGATCAGGGCTCGAACCCATGTTCCCTGCATTGGCAGGCGGATTCTTAACCACCGCACCACCAGGGAAGTCCTTTCAATGACTTCTTTAGAGTTACTTCAAAGTAACAGATACTCAAAAGTTCAAATAATAGTAAGTGGGGGTGAAGAAGTAACAAGCACCCCCACTCCCTGTGTCCCAAAGGAAAACACTATACATTTCTTCTAGAAATGTTCTCAGCATATATATATAGCACACACCTGTTTTTCTTGTTGCTTATTCAAACTTTATGAAAATAGAATATCACATACTATTTTGCAACTTGCTTTTCATTTAGCATCATCCCCTGAATATTTTTCTCTAGCGCACAGTTAAAATTACCGCTTTATTTTAACAACTGCATAATATTCTGCTATAAAGATATACTGTGCATTTTTTATTATTATTCTTAGTTGGTCCTATGGATAGAGTTTTAGATTTCCAATAATTAACCTAACAAACACTTTCAGAACAAACTATAAACAGACACTAAGTAATCTGAAGAAAATTCCTATTAAAATTCAACTGGGATGTCAACAAAAAATAGAATAAGGGTCTCCAAAAATTCTCTCCATCAGAGCAATGAGAAACCAACAAAAATGGACACAACTCTGGAAATTAACCAAAAGTCTGCAGCAATCCAGGGAGTGTTTATTCAAGAAAAACAGCTGAATCTCAGGAAGAACAGCAAGCTTTGTGGCATTTTAACTGGCCTTACTTCCATTCTCTCCCACCCGCATTCCAGGTATTTTCACTGTATTGCAGGCATCCCCAGCCTGCAGTCACAGTGAGACTGGCAGCCACAGAAGGAGTCAGGACAGAGCTGGGCTTCTTGGATGTGAAGACTACTGTTTGTCATCAAACTCGGGTAGTTTTTGACTATTATTTCTTCAAATATCTTTCTGGCCCTCTATCTCTTTCTCCTGCTGGTACTTCTGGTACTTCCAGTAGCCCACAGTCCACCTCTCCTAGCCCTAGACTATGAGCTGGGGTTGGGGGGAGTGAGTCCTGTCTTCTCGGCTAGACCCACCGAAAACAGAGCCTCCACCATGTGGAACTGGTGGGGGTGGGGAGAGGAAGAGGTCGTGGCTCAAAGGCTGCTGGCTCACTGTTCTTACTAAGATTTAGGAGATTTTCTTGAATAATGTTTCTACGTTTGCGGTATGTCTTCAGGTCAATTTCCAGAGACTTTAAATGATTATCCTTTACAATTTTTACCAGTTAAGAGGCTGTTTCACTGGAAAGAGGATCTGCTGAGTTTCTCACACTGCCATTCCAAAGTCTCAATCCTCCCAGAATCACTCTTGAGTGGAGAAGCAATACTGTGTTATGGTAAAGAGAACAGTTCTTGGAGTAAATGACTTAGGTGTGAATCCTGGCCCTAGCACCAACCAGCTACCTGTATAACCTAAGACAAATTACTTACCTCTCGTGCCTCAGTCTCCCCTTAAGTGTAAACAGGTACTTACCTCATGAAGGCTAAAGCAGTAGTGCCCACATAGTGTCCATTCAATAAACATGCCATTGTCTAATTTTTTGGTCTACTTGTTTATTTTGTTCCCATTCTAGCTGCATATTAGAATAACCTGAGGAGCTTTTGAAAAATAAAGAGACCTAGCCTCCACCCCCAAAGATTCTGCTTTAATTGGTCAGTGGTGTGGCCCAGGCATGGGTATTTTTGTAAAGCTCTCAAGGTAATTCTAATGTGCAGCCAAGGTTGAGAATCACTGCTCTTTGGTAATCTCATTCTTTCCCCAGGCTTCAGTGACCATCCAAATGCTAATGATCACCAAACCGCTCTCTCCAAACCTAACAACTCAGATACTTCATGCACTTTTCCAAAACCCTACTGGATAACTCTACGTGGATACCCTAAGCCATCTCAGACATAACATAAATTAAATAAGCCCTACTCATTTGCCCCTCCCCACATATCCTTGAACCTACAGATCTTCCAGCAGCCCTCGCCTCAGTTGCTGGCATCAATAATTCCATATCCCAAATCAGAAACTTATCTTCGATGCTAACCACATCCACATCTATCACAGAACCATCTGCCAAATCAAGGCTATCTTCTCCTTTGCCATGCCTTAATCCTTCCTAATATCTCACCTGGCCATTGTGACATATTTTATTTTTTAATAGAATTCACACAAATTACTGTACAGGGACAGGTTTCTTTTTTAAAGTGTGACTTTCATATAATAGTGTGTCAGTTTTCCTCAGGTGTACAAGGAGGCATCAATACTTATTATCAGAATTTGTTTCTAGAAGAAATGTTGCTCTTGAAACTTAAACTTTTTTCCAATAATTTATATATTTAGCTTTTTATTGAAGTATATTCCTATAGAAAAGCATAATATGCAAACAGAATAGCATACAAATAAGTGTATAGTATGTAGTTGGATGCGTTTTCACAAATTGAATACAACTACATAACAAGCACCCAGATCAAGAAATAGGGACTTCGCTGGTGGTCCAGTGGTTAAGACTCCACGCTCCCAATGCAGCAGGCCTGGGTTTAATCCCTGGTCAGGGAACCAGATCCCACGTGCCGCAACAAAGATCCCGCATGCCCCAGCTAGGACCCGGCGCAGCCAAATAAATAATTTTTTTAAAAAAATGAAAGAAATCAAAACTTACAAGCCTCTAGAAGCCCCCCTTCAAAGCTCCTTTCAGTCACTACCCACCTGTCATTTTCCTAACTTCTAATACTACAGATTAGTCTTGCTTGTTTCTAAACTTGTTTGTGACATTCTTCCAAGTTGTTGAGTGAAACTGTGGTTCACTCATTTTTGCTGTCACTCAGTATTATTTATCCCCTGCCACTGGACATCTGTATGGTTTCCAGTTTCGGTGGGGATTGCGGGGGAGTACTGAAAGTTCCAACCCTCTAGCCATCTGGTTCCCTGGAAGCAGCCTCCAACCTTGTTACCTAGGGACTTTTCCAAAAGTCACCTCGTTAACATAAAAGACACTTTTATTGCTCTTATCACAGGAAATCCCAAGGGTTTTTGGAGCTCTGTGCCAGGAACTGGGTTGAAGACCAAATATATATTTCTTATTATAAAATCACATCACGATACACCATTTGCATGTAACTGATTCCCTACTAGGCTAAGCTCCATGAAATAGGGAGATGTATGTCTTGCTCACCAGTTCCTTTCCCTGCCACGTTGATTATGCTTAATAAATAGTGGTTGAACAAATAATTTTCTCGAACCAGTCTCTCCTCGGCTCATCTTCCAACTCCAGTTCATCCTCCATAGTGCCTGCATATCTGCCTTTTAAAAGCTAACAATACTGTTCTCATGCTTAAAGGCATCTCAGCCTGGATCCCCACCACCTCAGGACAAAATCCTATCTTCTTAGCGCAGCATTAAAGTTCCTTCACAACCTGGCCCTGAGCAGCTTCTCTAGTTTCATCTCTGGACACACACATGCACACAATTCTGTAGCTGCATTCAGCTTCTCCTGCTTTCCCAAGCACATCTTGACCTTTTACATTTCTGTGGCTAAGGTACACGGTGCAGAAGATGAGAAACTAAACAGCCTTGAAATCAAGGTTGGTCAGGCTGAAATCTAGTTTCCTCGTATATATTGATAAAATAGAGATATTGTCTCTCCCATAAGACTATGAGGGAAAAAATTAAATAATGTACTAAATGAACCTGATATGATGCTTAACAGTGTTCAATAATTGTTGGGTTCCATCCCATTCACCTCGACCTAGAACATCCTCACTCCCCACTAGATTAAACTCAAATGTTACTGCTCTGTAGCTCCTTCTCAAGTCACCAGGTATAGTCTCTTTCCCCAGTGTACTCTCTGACTATTCAAATGTCTATAAATGTCTATCACATGATACCTTACTGTCTTGGATTTGCTCCAAAATAAAAGGGGGAAAGGGAGTAACTGGAGAGTATGGGTGAAACAAGCATTACCAAGAGTTGAAAATGCCTGAAGTTGGGTGACAGGTTTGTGAGGGCTCATCCTCCTACTGTGTATGTTTGTATACATTTTGAAATTCTCCATATTCAAGCTTTTTAATGTCTATTTCAGCACTTATGAAATATTATAATTATCTATTTATCTCTGCCTCCCATTAAAATGTCTTCTCTCCAAGGGCAATGGTTAACTTCTATTTATCTCCTAGTGCAAGGATAGGCATACAGGATACAGTCCAAAAAACTCTCCATCAAGTGAATGAAGCAACCCTCACAAATAAAAAGTAATTGAGTTGTTGTTTTTTGTTTTTTTTCTGGCTACATTGGGTCTTCTTTGCTGGGTGCGGGCTTT